GACCTTTTATAACTTTTTTTAAAGTAATCTCTACACACATTGTGGGATTCAAATTCACAACCCCAAGATCAAGACTTGCATGCTCTACTACTGACTGAGCCAAGTAGGTGCCCCCAACCTTTTATACTTCTATTTCTCTTTTTGTGCGTCTCCCATCTCCCAATGACCCTCCATTATGTTGCTGAATACATTATCCTTTATTTAGAGGTTGGAAATCTCAATTCCCATGTCCTCTACGCAATTGATATGTGCTTCAGGTATCAAAGGGAATCAAACATATTTATGTATCCTTGTGTGTGGAAAGGCTGACAGTCTCATCATCCATATATATTTAAATTTTTGAAAGACATTGCTGAACTAAATGCATTTTAAAATCATAGGCCTGCGTTTCTGAGCATCTGATCTCTGAGTTAACTCCTCAAAGTTGTTTTTTTGTACTTCCTTTTCTCCTGAATCCATAAATCTATCAAAACCCCCCAAATACAACAGTTTTCAAGTGGAAAGGGGCTGTCTGTGTTGTGAGATGAGATGGCAGAAGTTTGTAAACACAAATCATGTGTAATTCAGAACTACTTGTTTTTAAATTAAGGAAATTTGAGTACATTTTAAGAACGCTATTTATCAACACAAAAATTTAACCTTTGAAAGAACTTCCTTGAAAGTTTTACGTAGGATTCTCTGAAGGTATGGGGTAGATTGAGTTTTTTTTTTTTTTTAAGGGTTAGGGAATCATCTATTTTGTGCTTCAGCTAAACCGCTTTTCTTCAAATCTCCTGGATTAGATTGTTTTGAATTAATCTCTGACAGTTTTCAGATTAAGTTACTTTTCATATCCTTCGCAATTATTTTGGAATTCTAAATTAAATATGCTGAAATGTATCAGTAATGTTCCTAACACCCAGGAATTGTATTTGTCAAACTTAAACTTGTGCTATAACCCCAGATAGAATTACAATTTAAGATTTATATAAGGTGTTGCATTTACTGAGGGTTCATTGTTGAGATCTTAGAATTCATTTTCTAAAGCGGAGTTTATAGTAGTGGTCCCTTAGTGTAGAATCGATGACACAAATTTAAAGTTCTTTCTGTTAGAGGAATAGTTTATCATAGATTATGTGACATTAATTACAGTCTCTGAATTAAGTAATGGTAGAAAGAAAAAATGGGAGGACTTGCAGAAGCAACCTACATAGAAAATCATATGCACATTTGTCAAAGGAGGCTACGTGTTCTATTCAAGCTCCATTTAATCAGATCATGTATTGTGAACATATAATAGCTTAAAGGATATTGATAAACAATAATGATGAAAATACTTCATTTCTCTAGTAATTCACACAATAATAACTTTTATGTATAAGAAAGGATTCAGGAAATTTTTCCTAACCTAATACATAAAGTGGCAGAAAATATGTGGTATTTTATATTTGGTTGTAAAGATAATAGATACTAATCAAATTCCTCCAAAGCTGGTCATATATACATAGCTACTCCTAAATTACTACAGATAGTTCCTTTTTTCTAAAATTAGAGATTAACCTTATAGTTGTCAAAAGCAACAAATGTGTTCTTGGCAGTCTAGAATCTTGAGGAGGGGATGGCAGGTAGAAGACATTTTGACGACTTTTGATTATTTCCAACATGCAAATGTTTGGTTTAAATTGAACTCAAAATTGCCTTTTAACAGGAAGATCTTTAAATAGGAAGATTATTATTATACTGTACTTAGCAACATCAGATCACAGAGAGCTTTGGTTCTTCCTGTCAAAACTTTGGAGGGACGCCTGGGTGTCTCAGTTGGTTAAGCGTCTGCCTTCGGCTCAAGTCATGATCCCAGGGTCCTGGGATCGAGTCCCGCGTCAGGCTCCTTGCTCAGCGAGGAGCCTGCTTCTCTCCCTCTGCCTTGTTGCTCCTCCTGCTTGTGCACTCTCTCTGACAAAGTCTTAAAAAAAAAAACAACAAAAACCGGGCGCCTGGGTGGCTCAGTTGGTTAAGCGACTGCCTTCGGCTCAGGTCATGATCCTGGAGTCCCGGGATCGAGTCCCACATCAGGCTCCCTGCTCAGCAGGGAGTCTGCTTCTCCCTCTGACCCTCCTCCCTCTCATGCTGTCTCTCATTCTCTCTCGCAAATAAATAAAATCTTAAAAAAAAAAAAAAAAACCCGTTGGAGATCTACAATTTTGGGGATCATCCTGCTGTGAAATAAAGGCTGTCAATGGTTGAAATTAGCCTTACTCTTTAAGTGATCAGGCATTTGTTGCTCTCAAATTTTAGAATGAAAGGGCTAATATCAAAGATCAGATTGCCCTTTTCCATTAGCTTTCCAAAGGTCCTACTCACTGTTTACTTCTTAACCATCTGTGTCTATTAAGTTCCTTTAATCTGATGCTTGAGACAGAACCTAAATTTCAAAGAAAAAGAGAATTAGGTTCATGAAAGTTCTTCCACTAAGGTTTTCCAAGCACTCTTTAGCTAATTGGAATACCCTCTTTATGAACACTCCAGTTTTCAAAATCTTAAATTCAAAATAATTGGAAAATACATGGATATATATGTGATAAAGCAAGTATAATTTACTGCTAATTGTAGAATTTAGGTAGTGGGTATATGGGTGTTCACTGTAAAATTATTTTTTTACTAGAGTTTTGTAACAAAATGTTAATAGAATTTGGGAAGATTAAAGCTGCTTTACTAGTTCACTCCAACATTGTAAGTTGAGTACATGCCAATAACTCTAAAAGCTTATATGTAGCATACAACACAAATTATCTTTTGAGGTTGTAAACCGTAAATCTTCCAAATGTTTTCCTTTGCACTTCCAGGTTGTCTGGTTAGTTGGTTATCACACTTCTAAGAGAACAACTCTAATTAATGACTGAAACACCAAAGCCATTGTAAATAAGAACTGAAAGATTAGAGAGAGGAAAATGTATTTAAGCATTGGCTTATTTGGGAAATGTGACAGTCAACCTATAATGTTAATGTTGATATAAAATGTTAATGCTTGAAGAAACTTTAATTAGGGAGGATAAAGGGGTAGATGGAAACTATTATAAAGATTCTGAAGGGGATTTAAAATAACTGTCCATGGTTGGAGAGAAAAGTTAGACATTATCTAAAGTGGAACAACTTGAACTTCAAGCAGTGAAAGGAAAAATGTATGGATGACTCCCAAAAGAGAAGAAAGGGGATGGCTGAAGGGCTGGTTGTCATTGAAGTGATTAGGGAGTAGGAGGGCATGGGGTGTAAAATTCTTAACTCTTTAAGAATTAAAGTTCCTACTCTTTAAAGCCTTTAATGCTGAATTAATACCAGTGGTGCTAATGGAAAGCTAAAAGCGTTTACTCCTTAAAAGATGTAGTTCCAGGCGCCTGGGTGGCTCAGTTGGTTAAGCGACTGCCTTTGGCTCAGGTCATGATCCTGGAGTCCCAGGATCGAGTCCCGCATCGGGCTCCCTGCTCGGCAGGGAGTCTGCTTCTCCCTCTGACCCTCCTCCCTCTCATGCTCTCTGTCTCTCATTCTCTCTCTCAAAATAAATAAATAAAATTAAAAAAAAAAAAAGATGTAGTTCCACTTTCCATGGTAGACATAATTCATATACAAACCATAACCTTTTAGTCAAAATAGATAAAGGGTGGAAAAAGTATGGTCCACAGCACCTCTTAAAGAGTTATATTTGATTACTAACAGGTAGGTCAGACATCGGTATAAAGTGCTTTTCATATGCGATATTTTAGAACAAAAATTTTTCATCCATCATGTTTTTATGTTTTTATTAAAAAAAAAACCTCATCTAGTAGATTATATGGTAAGAGGAGGGAATTACAAAGTATAAAACAATACCAAAAATGGTTCGACTCATATATACATTAAAAATTGTAAGGAATATCTTAACAAACTAGAACATTAGTATTTTTAATTCAGCTACATTTAATATTTTAAGGCCAAAATTTGAAGGTTTACTGACAATGAGGAATATCAATATTTTTCTGTAAGGTTCTTATAAAATCATAAAAATATTTCACAATGTGTTAAAGGAAACTTAACATTTCTTCCATTTTTAAAATACAAGATTTCCCAGAAGAGTCTGACCAGTTGTATAGCTTATGTCAATTTTGAAAAGGTCTTCAACAGAATACGTTTCTCAAGTTGTGAAGTATTATTTTCGCAAAGCAGATACTGCCTCAACCAATGTAACAAGAATGATTCTTAATCCCCCCCTAAAAAGCTATTACAATTTATTTACTTAATTTACTATTAAAAGAAATAGGCTATCACTTGGTGCTTGGAAGACTTTTTTTTTTTTAAGATTTTATTGATTGGTTTACAGACAGCCCATGTGAGCAGTGAGAGGGACAGAGGGAGAGAGAGAGCCCGATGCACGGCTTGACCCAGGACTCTGATATATCACGACCTGAACTGAAATCAAGAGTCGGACACGTAACCGACTGAGCCACCCAGGCACCCTTGGAAGACTATTTGACGCTGAGATTTTTCTTGAAACTTAAGTCAACAGCATTTTAAGTCTCTATCATTAGGGTAAGCTAAGAAAACTAGAATGTAGTTATTTCTTTAGAAAATAGGTGGTCGTAGCAAAGAATTCTGGTTTTCCTCAATGTACCTCTATGAAGCCCTTTCTAAAAAGTGTATAGTACTTAGGCATTTCGTTCTTAGAATTACAAACTAGAGAAGTAGTCATTTTGCTTCGTGTTTCAATTACACTTTTTCTGAGAAACTACTCATCATACACCTAAGATCAAACAGTAATGAACATGCAACCAATCCATTTCTATGACTAAGTACTAATTACTGGCTAGGCATTCTCTCATCTGAAGAGACTGACCCTCTAAGTTTTTGGTCAGTGTTCTGAAAGAACCTGAAACCTGAGATATAATAAGATATTGATTTTAATTTGTAATTTACTATAAACATGTAGGTTGAATATGGTGTTTTGAAATCTATGAACCATATACTTAAAGTCACCTTTTTTTAAAAAAAGATTTTGTTTGAGATAGCAACAGGGAGAGAGTTGGGGGGGGTGCAGAGGTCGACGGAGAGGCAAGCTCTCCACTGAGCAGGGAGCCTGATGCGGGAATTGATCCCAAGATTCTGGGATCATGAACTGAGCCAAAGGCAGATGCTTGACTGAGCCACCCAGGCATCCCCAAATCACCTACTTTTAAAAAACAGTAACCATCAATCTACTCTGCACCCATCTACCCCAAGTTGATACTATTTATTTCCATAAGTTCAGAGTTGCAGTATATTCCTAGAATGTAAGATTCATATAGCCCTTTCCCCCAAACAGAATAAAAACATTACAATTTGGGGGAGAAAATACTACTGATGGGGTATAATAGTCTGTATTTTTTATTTCAATCTTTCGCATGATTCCTTTAAGTAAAAAAATGGTATGTCATTATTATATCAACTTGAGAGTAGTTGAATCAACCTGTTATGTCAAACACTTCTATCAGAGTCTATTTCCAAAAAAGCTTCTTGACTCAATTATCTTTAATTTGCTTAATTTTGTAAACATCTTTAATTTATTTTGTTAATCACCATACATCATTAGTTTTTGATGTAGTGTTCCATGATTGTTTGCATATAACACCCAGTGCTCCATTCAATACCCTCTTTAATACCCATCACCAGGCTAACCCATCCCCCCCCCCGAACCCTCAGTTTGTTTCTCAGAGTCCATAATCTCTCATAGTTCATCTCCCCCTCCGATTTCACCCCCTTCATTTTAACCTTCCTACTATCTTCTTTTTTTTAACATATAATGTATTATTTGTTTCAGAGGTACAGGTCTGTGATTCAACAGTCTTACACAATTCACAGCGCTCACCATAGCACATACCCTCCCCAATGTCTATCACCTGGGTGATATAAACATCTTTTTAAAGGCATACAAGACATAAATTTTCCAGAAGGCCTAAATTGACCTTATAAACCAATGCCAGAGTTCATGATATGATCCTAAATACCCTATTCATCAAGGGAGGGATTTAGATCTAAGGTGCATAATCATCATTTAATACTTGAAAATGTTTCTAGTCAAAGGTTAAGTTCTGACTCCAAAACCCAGGTCTCACTGAACCACTTGGTCCTTAAACTCTTGCAAGTCATGGACTTGTCTGAAAATCTACAGGGCCTAGACCTGAAGTTTTGGTTCCATGATGCCAAGGTAACATTTCTGCACCAGACCATACTAAGTACCGTGTGTGTGTGTGTGTGTGTGTGTGTTTTTCTAAGTAAACTCTACCCTCTACACTCAGTGTGGGACTCAAACTCACCACCCCAAGATCAAGAGTCATTCTCTACCAACTGAGTCAGTCAAGTGCCCCTAAGTAGCATATATTTATCTACATACAAATACTCCAGATATTCTACCACCTGTCTGGAAAACAAATTTTAATGTTTAATTCTAAGAAATTACAATTTTAATATAGTTTAGAGGAATTGTAAAAGTATTTCTAAATACTTCTTCAGATTTTTACTAATTTTGCCTCTTGCAGTGGGATGAGAATAAAGGTAGACATTCTTATTTGTAATACAACAGCTGCATCTCAAGTAAACACTACAAACATATAAAGTCCTGAAATTAGTTGTTTTTTTTTTTAAGATTTGCTTATTTGAGACCGAGAGAGAGAGCGTGAGCACAAGTGGGGAGGAGGATAAGAGGGAGAGGGAGAAACAGACTCCCTACTGAGCACAGAGCCCGACTCAGGGCTCGATCCCAGGACCCTGAGATCCTGAGCCGAAATCAGACGCATAATTGACTGAACCACCTAGGTGCCCCGAAATTAGTTCTTTTCATTTAAAAATAAGTTTTAGCCCAGTGCAAGATGAAATCCTAGGCTTCAAATAAAAAATTTGGTATATTCCACTGTTTGCAGCTCCAAGTATCAGTTGCTATACAGAAATTATTTTTTTTTAAAGATTATATTTATTTGAGAGACGGTGAGCAAGAGAGAGAACACAAGCGAGGGGTTGGGGTGGTGGGGGGAGAGGCAGAGGGAGAAGCAGACTCCTCCCTGAGCAGGGAGTCCGACATGGGGCTCGATCCCAGGACCCTGGGATCATGACCCAAGCTGAAGGCAGAGGCTTAACTGACTGAGCCACCCAGGTGCCCCCAGAAATTGCGTATTATTCATGGGGAGAAAGAAAACAAATAGTAGTGGCCATTTTTATTTTCTTTGACATTAACTTATCCTCTGATCCTGAACAAATGTAGACTGGTAATTCTCCTACACTAAACTTGGGAAGTACCTGAGTAAATATATTGTCTTTAAAGGAAATGATCACAGATGTGTAAAACATTTGCTTTATTTATTAACAATCTTATCCTAAGTATCCTCTCCTAAATGGTCCAAGAAACAATTCTATAACAAAAGTGAATCCTAGAAGAGATATACCCAGAAGACAATTTCTCAAGGAACCAGCACAATTGTCAGTTTCCACTTAGTCACAGAACCCATTTACACTGAAAGCTTATAATCATTTTCCTAATTCTATTTTCTCCTTTCCCTCTAAACATTCTCTTAGTTTAGCATGTATCTGTCAAAGATTTCTCTTCCAAAAAGTGTGACAGACAGGGAGGGGCTGTCTGGAGCCCAGCCACTGTCCACTCCCAAGTCTAACAGTGTGACCTAGTGGTTATCACCGAACCTGTCTGCATCTCACTTTCCTTATCTGCAGTGGTATTTATCTCATATAGCTTTTGTGATGATGAGTGAATAATGTAAATCTTATAAAGCAGTGCCAAGTAAATGCTCACAAAAGTCTGAACTATTATTATTCCAGTTTTTCCATCAAATCAAAGAGTATCCTCCTAAGCAGCCTAAAGATTACAATGGAAAACCAAGTCAGAGGTAAATCAAAGGATAAGCATCTTCAGAAATACCGCTCGCTGTATTGACTTTTTACTAAGACATAATCAAATGCAAAGTATAGACACGATAATCAATTCCTACTTAGTATTTCAAATTACTGCATGTATGTGTGGATCAACCCAAACATTTATTTAGAAAATATGAAACATCACTATTAATATTTGTTCTTTCTTTGGACTATCCTTTAGATTTTCAACAGTGCCACATAATTTTAGGACTAAATTTTATTACAGCTGAACACTTCAAAGATTTTGCTATTATGATTAAATAAAGAAAATGTATTCAGAAAGTACTGTACAGTTTACATGAATTTATAGTACTTGTCCAAATATTACCAGCATATAAATTATTTTGTAAAGTTATTTCTTACATAGGGTCAAAAATGCAAAGTGGAATTTATATTTAAAAAAAAAAAAATAGAAGCAACACTGGCTCCTATATGCCAAAAATATAAGACAGATTTTTTTCTTAAGCACTCTAGTTACAAATATTAACTATATGGGCTGAGAACTTTTAATTTTCAATATACTTCAACAAAGTACGTACACAAGTAGAACTCTATAAATATATCCCCTATAATAATCATATGCAAAACCATTTTATCACAAATACTACCAAAACCCTCTGAAAAACATAAACTACAAACACATTTTTAAAGAAATTCTGTTTTAACTACTACAAAAGCAATATCAATAAAGTTATTTGGTTTATAAAAATGAAGGGCAGTGTAAAGTAAATCTGAATACCACAAAGCTTATTGAGGATGCAGTCTTGAATTCCTTAATACAAGATACTAAACACTTTAAAAAATAATAGGACTTATTCTATACAATTTAAAGTCTTGAGCTGAACTCCAAAAAGAAAAAATTAAGTAGTAGATGAAAAGTAGGTATGTAGAAATGATGTTATAAAATATGGTTTTTATACAAAATGTACCACTCTTCAAATGTATAAGGCTTAATATGAGTATTTTTGGATTATGAGTGCTGCACATGATTTTTAGAGTAGTCTCCAACCATTCAAAATTCAGTATTTTTAAAATGTTTTGATACTTCTGAAGTGAATGAACATGGTACAGGATGCAACTTAATGTCAACTTATCTATACTGTTCTACACAGTAAAAATACAAGTTTTTTGAGCTCAGGAGAGAATGTATCTTTTGAATGCTTGATCTCTATATAAATTCTACTTTTAGGAATGTCAGAATTTTGTAATATGAACTAATATCCACTAGGAACTGGCCCAAGTTTAAACAAAAGATATAAGAGAGACATACGTTGTCAAGCAGTTTAAGTCTGCCCTATGTAATTATACAGTCATAATTACTTTTTACATGAAAGTAAAAGTGCTTTAAAGTAAAAAATATTTTTGTAAAAGGTATCATTAATATTACTAATACTTCATATCCAAGTAGAATTTTCTACATTAGTTTCATTTTACCCATTTCCTTTGAAAAGTATCCTTCTGCCACAATGTAAACAAAAAACGGTCCATAAAATGGTGACATATCAGACACATCATAATTTGTGGTATGGGCCCTTTAAATTGAGACCAAGTCTTTATTAACCCAGAACTAGAGAGATTTTATTTGTTGCACATGCCCAAAGTAACTCACATTTTCTATAAGCCTTGAATTTTTATTTAACATAATGAGAGGTTTAATAACACATTCAAGACTATGTAGCGCTCTTCTGTGGCTGTTCACCAGCTGTTTTTATGACGATAACTCCGAGATCTGGAATGTGATCGAAAATGAGAGTGTTTTGCTGTTTGTGCTTTAGCTTCAGAATTGGTATACCCTTTGGGAGATTTACAAGGGGATCTTGCTATGGAGTCAGAATGTCTTCCATGTGATCTTGATTTTGTTCCTGAGCTAGTCTGCTTTTGAGGTGAACTTGATTGTGATTTTCCTATTGACTTGGACCTTTTTGGTAAGGACTTGGACCTTGACCGTCCTCTAGAACCAGAATTCCTTCTTGGAGTTCTTGACTGCCTTGCTGAGGTAGACCGCCGTGGTAGTGATTTGGAGCGAGATTTAGATTGGCTATAAGAAAATCGCCTGTGTCGAGACCTGCAAACATTCATAACGTTAAGAGTATATATTTTACACAAAAACGTTTAATGAAAGGTTAGGAAACAGCAATTTCAGGAATTTATACACTTTATATAATATTATGCTTTTCCTGGATAAACTAAAAGAAACAATTTTATTTTGCATACTTTTAGTTCAAACATAAGTAACAAGTTTGTAATATTTGTTATACTAGAATCTATGACCAAAAGATTTTTGCTTTGCTAGATTTATCTTATGATATGAGTCAGTTCTGAAAAATGCCCTGCATGTTTAATCTGGGTTATACAACTCCCAAGAGGTATGAAAATTTGAAGGGAAAAAAAAAGATAAAAAAAGAGAAAGTAATTTTTTAAAGTATGTCAAATAATGCTTATAAAAACAAACACAAAACCTAGATGCAGGACTTTTGAATCCTGCCATGATAGAACAATGTGTATTAGCCTAATCTTCCCATAGAAAACATATATATACACACACACAAGAGCTAAATAACATTATAACAACTATTTAAAGGCACTGGAGAATAACCAACCCTAGGAGAACTTGAGGGGTTACAAGCCATGGCTCTTTTAACTAAGACCATTTTCCAAATGCTGGCAGGGGGAAACTGAACCCAACCAGAAAATGGCTATTTGACTAAGCTGAAGAGGCAAGTTAGGATTCAGATTTATCAAAATGGTTGGGACTAAAGAGGCAAAATCTCAGGAGGGAATAGCAGACAAAAAAATCTCCTAAAATTTGCCTATAAATTCTCTTCAAGTCACTGGCCATCTTTTAAGCTGTGCACATAGAGGATGAGACTCCAAGAAGTCAGCAAATATAGCAGTTGGGAGTATTCAAGAATTAAGCTGAAATTCTATCAGACACACAGTGCTGGGGAGAGAGGCTGGAGTTCAAGCCCCCAAAAGGTCAAGGAACCTTGAGTAACAACCCACACTTTCAGTTAAGAACCCATAAGGGCCGGGCGCCTGGGTGCCTCAGTTGGTTAAGCGACTGCCTTCGGCTCAGGTCATGATCCTGGAGTCCCAGGATCGAGTCCCACGTCGGGCTCCCTGCTCGGCGGGGAGTCTGCTTCTCCCTCTGACCTTCTCCCCTCTCATGCTCTATCTCATTCTCTCTCTCAAATAAATAAATAAAATCTTAAAAAAAAAAAAAAACCAAAAAACCCATAAGGGCCATATCCTACAGGTAAGGACCACCCCCTAAGGGTAAGTGTAAAGCTAAAATAAATCAACCTTAACAATGCCTCAAACCAAGCCTTGACAGATCAAGGTGATTTGCCAATACTCCACCTGCTAGAAGAAAACAATTTTCTTTGGAGGTTATCATCCAAAGTGTTGTCAACAATGTCCAACATTCAATAAAGAAATTATGAGGTATGTGAAAAATAGATAAAAATTACTAAAAGCAAAGGAAATAAAAGAAAAAAAAACAGACCCAAAGTAATACAGATATTGGCATTATTCAGACAGGAATTTAAAAAAATTACTGTTGACTTGTATGTTCAAGGAAGTAGGAAGAAAAGACAGGCAAAACAGATTTAAAAATAGAAAAGTTCAAGAGAATACTGCAATCTATAGACAGAAGCAAATGGACATTTTAGAACTGAAAATATATTTCTGAAATTTAAGTCATTAGATCAATTTAACAGCAGTCTAGATATAGCAGAAGAAAAAGTGAACTAACCTGTAAAACAGGTTATTAGAAAAACATATCTACTGAAACACAAGGAAAGAAAAGGAATTTTAAGAAATCCGTAACAGAGCATATCTCATGCAGTACACAGTCACACAGTCAAAAAGAAAAACTGAATGAGGCAGAAGCAATATTTAAAGAGATAATGACCTAGAATTCTCCCAAATTAATGAAAGGTATCAACTCACAATTTCAAGAAGCTCAGTATACCCTGGAGAATAAGACACATTACCTTTATTTAATTATTTTTATTTTTTTTTACAGCCGTGTTAAAACAAGGCCTTGAAAAATTGGTTTAAGACCCAGAGTTGTTCGTCTCCATGGAAATCTTTTAGTAAAAAGTGAAAGATTTATATGAGTTGAAGAGAAACCAGAGCATAAGACACACATTACCTTCAAAGGAGCAACATTAAGACTGACAGCTGACTATAAATATCAAGAAACAATAGAATAATATTATTTCTAAAAGCGGGGCTAAAGTGGTGCCTGGTTTGCTCAGTCAGTAGAGCATACAATACTCTTGATCTCAGCGTCATGAATTCAAGCCCCATATTGGGTGTAGAGATTACTTACATACATACATACATAAATACAAAAGAAGTCCCTGCCAACCCAGAATTATGTCCCCAGCAAAAAAATCCTTCAAAAGTGAATATAAAATGAAGATTTTTCAGATAAACAAAAGCTGAAAGAATTCACTGCCAGCAGACCTGTACTGTAAGAAATACTAAAAATGTTTTAGACTAAAAGAAAATAATCTCAGAAGTGTGGAATTATAGGAAGGAATAAAGAACACTGGACAGTATAAATACATTGATTGAGAATATATTCTGGAATAAAAGCACAGGCTTTTAGAAATTATTAAATTTTGCGGCACCTGGGTGGCTCAGTCATTTAAGCATCTGACTCTTGATTTCAGCTCAGGTCAGGATCTCAGGGTGGTAAGATTGAGCCCCACATTGGGTTCCGTGATGAATGTGGAGCCCGCTTAAGATTCTCTCCCTCTGCTCCTCCCCACCTTCTCTCTCCCTCTCTTAAAAAAAAAAATTATTAAATTTCATTCCTGTTGTAGACAGCCAAATGGGAAAATTATCCTTCAGAAAAAAATCCAACATAGAAAAAAAAGGGGGAGGGATGCTATATTTGGGCTAAGGCAGCTGAGGAGCAATTTTTCAGGAATATATATATACATTCATTGAAGTATGAATTCAACAAAAATTTATGGAATACCTGACATGAGCTAGGACTACTGCTAAGTGCTGGGGATATAAGCATGAATAAGACAAAAGTCCTTGCTCCTCAAAGAGCTCATCATAATCCAGTAGATAGCAACAAACTAGTTTGTTTTTTTAATCCATATCCACTAAAAACAAAATAAGAGACCTCTTTTTAGTCTAAGATAATACCACATATTCTGTATTTACTTATCATTTTTTTAGGCTTATACCAATTCTGCCTCATTTACATATACACACATACACATATGCAGACACAAAATCTGATCCTTATGAATATAACGAGAGCTGAGTAAGATTTGCATTCTTTATAATACAATTTTACAAATGAAAAAACTGAGGTCAGGGAGGTTAAGCAATGATGTTATAATGAGCAGAAAGCAAAACAGTATTGTCTTACAAGATGTGGTTCATTCTATTCCTGATACTCCAATGATGATTTGGGACAAATGACGGACATTTTTTGTTTTTCCCCAGCTAAGTGTATTTTTTTTTTTTAAGATTTTATTTATTTATTTGACAGAGAGAGACACAGCGAGAGAGGGAACACAAGCAGGGGGAGTGGGAGAGGGAGAAGCAGGCTTCCCCACTGAGCAGGGAGCCCGATGCGGGGCTCAATCCCAGGACCCTGGGACCATGACCCGAGCCGAAGGCAGACGCTTAACCATCTGAGCCACCTAGGCACCCCTCCCCAGCTAAGTGTATTACTCACAGAAAGAGAATATAAGTGCAAATGCTGTTTTTCTTTTCTTTTTTTTAAGTAAACTCTACACCTAACATGGGGCTCGAATTCATGACCCCAAGATCAAGAATACCAACTGAGCCAGCCAGGAGCCCCAGTGCTGATCTTTAAGAACAGAATTTACTTTTATTCTTTTTTTTTTTAAAGATTTTATTTATTAGAGAGAGAGTAAAAGAGAGACAGAAAGCACAAGCAGGAGGAGAAGGAGAGGAAGTAGCAGGCTTCCTGCAGAGCAGGGAGCCCAATGTGAGGCTCAATCCCGGGACCCTGGGACCATGAAGTGAGCTCAAGGCAGATACTTAACCGACTGAGCCACCCAGGCGCTGCAAGGACAGAATTTACCTTTAAATTATACATGTCTATGAAAAAATTATAGCATTAAAACTCAAGATAAATACTACAATTACTTAAGAATTTAGGCATGCTAATACAATTTCAGTTATTATTTAAATAGCTTCACCAAGTAATTCCCATTATGATTTACTATTATTATAACAGAAACTCCTGGCTAACAAAATGGATAAACTGCAAATAATCTTTTTCTGAAAAACTTACTATTTTCGTGTCTTCTTATAATACCAAACTTAGAATTTATCTTTGAAAATAACTTACCTTTTATAAATATATTGACTTACATTAATTTTAGGTTCAACCTCCTTTCACAAGTGATTCTATTTCTTATGAGTTTTTAATCTTCAGAACTTAAGATTCTTAATTACTGGGTTCAGTTGGGAAAATTTTATTTATTTAAAATTCCTTGGGGCACCTGGGTGGCTTAGTCCGTTAAACGTCTGCCTTCAGCTCAGGTCGTGATCCCAGGGTCCTGGGATCCAGACCCGCATCGGGCTCCCTGCTCAGGGGGGAACCTGCTTCTCCCTCTCCCTCTGCCTGCCAGTCTACCTGCTTGTGCGCTTGCTCACTCTATCAAATAAGTAAATAAAATCTTTAAAAATAAAATAAAATTCTTCATTTTATTTGTCAAGTGCACATTTTAAAATTTGTCTTTTTCTTCAGCCCATATTATTTTTCTATTAAAAAGGTTTAAAGGGGTGCCTGGGTGGCTCAGTTGGTTAAGCGACTGCCTTCGGCTCAGGTCATGATCCTGGAGTCCCGGGATCGAGTCCCGCATCGGGCTCCCTGCTCAGCGGGGAGTCTGCTTCTCCCTCTGCCCCTCCCCCCTCTCGTGTGCTCTCTCTCATTCTCTCTCTCTGAAATAAATAAATAAAATCTTAAAAAAAAAAAAAAGGTTTAAAGTTAAATCTGCCATGAAATAAAAACACTGGAAGGTATCCAATAAACCCAAGTTAAGTAACAATACATTTCAAATAGAGAAGAGCATATCTTTTTTTTTTTTTTTAAGGGGGGGTAGCAGGGAAGAAGGGGAAGTGGGAGAGAGAGAATCTTAAGCACACACCACACTCAGCATGGAGCTGGATGCATGGAGCCGGATGCAGGGCTCGATCTCACAAACCTGAGATCGTGACCTCAGCCAAAATCAAGAGTCAGATGCTTAACTAACTGAGCCACCCAGGCACCCTAAGAGCATATTTTTCTAACAAAAGTTGATCTTTATGTATATTGAATAAGATTATTCTTGTGGCCTGCTTCTGAAAACTCTTTAAAATGTCTTCCAGAAAAAGTAGAAAATTAAGTTTTCAATCCTCTTGTATTTTGTACTTACTCTTTAAGGCTATCAGACCGTCTCCTATTTCTTCCCCATGAAGAACTTCTACTTCGAGTTCTCCTTTGGCTGGGGCTTCTTGATCTCCTATGATCACTTGGAGAACAAGGGTGACGTTCTTTTGATTTCATTTGGCCTGGTGCTAGAATATGAAATAATTTATTACCTGAAAACCTCAGTAACAGCTACTTTAGTAGTAGTATTTTCTGAAAGAATTTGAAATAAGAAAAATCTGTCATAGCTAAAAGTCATTCTGCTGAATAAATAAGATCTAATGTTTAGTCACACTTACTTTTTCGATCACCTTGTGCAAACTGTATTTCAATTTGACGGCCACATACCCATTTTCTATTGAGGTTATAAAGAGCATCTTCAGCATCACGAACATCTTCAAATATGACTAGCTGTTAAGGATACTTTGAACGTCAGATATCAAGTAAAAAGGTTTTTTTAAAGAATTATTTACACGTGACATGAAATTGAAAAACAACTCCAAATATTAAACTTATATCTCCTATATACATATATATAATCAGAAAGAATTTCACTTTTATTATGAAAACAAATGCCCCGTTATGATTGAGAAGAATCTATCTAAAAGTAAGAACAGAAACAAAAGCGTAACTATACTTTTAATGTACACATTAGTGTAGCTGCAGTATGTGTTTATAATGTGAAACAGGTTATGAGAAAAAAGTAAGTCTAACCCTGGCTAGTATTAAAAAACAAACTGTACAGGACTCACTCCCTTCTTTCAGGTTTTTCACTGAAAAAAATCAGCATGCAAAAGCCTTTATTCTGAAATTACAATTACTCTTTCACTAAAAAGTGTTTTAATTATGACGTTTAGGAGAAATTACTTATTACAAACAAAACTGCACAAACACATGTAACCTAAAACATTTTACCTTTAAAAATGATATTTACTTCTGAACCTACTACTTTAAAATACTTTTATGTTCTTACTGCTTGGGATATAATTATAAAAAAAAAACACAAAAGCAATCTGTGAACATCTGGAATTACATATACTGGTTTGTAATATCCCACTAAACTTCCTTATCTATGTAAATTATATATTAAACCTAACTAAAATGGAAATAAACTATATAAAATGACTATATAGCTATCTTTCAGGAGGCTGTTCACTGGTTAAATTTTTTTTAAATAGAAAACAGAAAAAGCTCAAGAAATGCAATACAAAATGAGACTTTGGCAATTACCTCAATGTCACTTGATCTTGAACCTTGACCTTTACTCTTTAAGGCTTGCAAGATGGACTTTATAAGAGACGAAGAACCAACAAAATCAGACTTGGCTTTGACTCTGGAACTCTGAATAAATGTAGGAAAGCCGAAGTCTCAACCTGGTGTTGGCTTTGTCTTTTGCTTGATAAAGACTTCCCCTCTTCCAGGTCTTTATATCTGTGTCCACCCTCCCTCTTTACTCCTTGATGCTTGAACTTTAGGTGCCTTTTTTCTCGCCTGCTCGGTTTATGCTTGGATTCTAGCTAACAGGTTGGTTCAAACTGGGGGGCGCTTGCCAGCTACTGTGGACTGCTTTAGATTTTCTGAGATAAAGAAATAAACACAATTAGGCAATATTAATCTCATATAACATATGCTCCTGAATACACATGCGTATCTGCACACGTATACAGTACATTCACATGCACACAGTAAAACAAAGGATATTGAACATAAGCAAATCCTCTTGGGCGGCGGGTGTAGAAGTCAAGTGGAATGTAAACGTCTACTATAGGGCCATATCGACCAAACTCACGGCGCAAGTCCTCAGGCCTGAAGTGTTTTAGAAATAAGGCAAAGAAATATGAATATCTGGATTAAAATATTTTGCCTATGGAAATCCAGTTGAAACCTTCAAAAGAAAGTATATTATCTAGACTAGTATTATCTAAAATTGTCGTAAGAATCACCCAGGGTTTAGAAAGGAAGAAAAAAGAAAAATCCTCAGGCCTCACTTTTGGAGATTCTGATTTAAAAGATCTGGCTGGAAATCTGTATTTTTATAAGCACTCCAGGTGGCTGTTATGCTTAATCAGATTGGGGAAACAGTGACCCAGGAAAGTTATTATCCATCTTTGGAAGTTACTTCTATTACACCATATTTCAATTGTCAATATAAAGAGTTCTATTAACCCTATTTCATTAAGAACACATTCATTTACCTCACTGTAATTTCATGTTTATGTTCATTTTGTTTTCAGATCGCAAGAATTAGATTCTAAAGAAGTCCTAAAATTATTTCTCAGGCTTTAAAGAAAAAATGGATGTTTTACTTTTAAACATAAAGCAAAGTAACTACTGTATTCTTAAATCTGACAAATATTTTTAAACCTCCTATATATCATAGGTAGTAAAGAGGGGGCACCAAAGGAATATTTAGCATATTTGTCTTCATGGAGTAACAATCTAACTCAAGAGACAAAATACTTAGCTTTTACAGCTGACAATTATAGTGCATTTATAATTGAGCCACTGCTCACCTTAAGACCGCTTAATTCTCACAACAACCCTATGGTTGTTTACAGATGAGGGCACAGACAGATGAATTTACGTAAGGTCACCAAGCCAGCAAATGACAGAACTAGAATCAAACTCTCACAACCTGACACTAGTCTAGGTTTTGTTTTGTTTTGTTTTTTTTAAAGATTTTATTTATTTGACAGAGAGAGGGAGAGCGAGAGCAGGAACACAAGCAGGGGGAGAGGGAGAAGCAGGCTTCCTGCCGAGCAGGGAGCCCGATGTGGGACTCGATCCCAGGACCCTGGGATCATGACCTGAGCCAAAGGCAGATGCTTAACGACTGAGCCACCCAGGAACCCACTAGTCTATGTTCTTTACCACTATACCTGCCTCATGGAGATCTTAGAGGTTCAACACCAAGTTATAAGCACAAAACATGGCTAAGAAGAAGTAAGAGTACTTCAAAACATATTGTGCAGAAAGAAGACTCAAAGATGACTGCAAAGCTGCTAGTTTGGGCAAATGGAAGAAAGATGGTGTCAGTGACAAAAATTAGACAGCTGGAAAAGAAAAGTTGAAGAGGGAGGCGAAAGAAATGCCACATTTGAGGTGATGGTAGAACATCCATAAGAGTTCTATAGACAGGGGCACCTGGCTGGCTCAGCAAGCCGAGCATGTGACTCTTGATCTCTAGGTTCCAAGTTCAAACCCTACATTGGGTACAGAGATTACTTAAAAAATGAAATCTTAAAAAAAAAAAAGAGTCCTGTAAACAACTAAAAATTATGATTATACAAATTAGTTTTATTTTCTTCTCCAGACTAGAAGTCAGTGATTAAAGCTAGAGATGTGAGGGACACCTGGGGGGCTCAGTCGGTTAAGCGTCTGCCTTCAGGTCAGGTCATGGTCCCAGGGTCCTGGCATAGAGTCCTGCATCGGGCTCCTTGCTCAGCTGGGAGCCTGCTTCTCCATCTGCCTGCCGCTCCCCCCTGCTTGTGCTCTCTCTGAAAATAATCTTTTTTTTTTTTTTAATTTTATTGATTTATTTGACAGAGAGAAACACAGCGAGAGAGGGAACACAAGCAGGGGAAGTGGGAGAGGGAGAAGGAGAAGCAGGCTTCCCACTGAACAGGGAGCCCGATGCGGGGCTCAATCCCAGGACCCTGGGATCATGACCTGACCCGAAGGCAGACGCTTAACCGACTGAGCCACCCAGGCGCCCCTCTCTGAAAATAATCTTAAAAAAAAAAAATTAAGCTAAAGATATGAATTAAACTATGATTAAATGTCCACTATATACAAGGCAGTGCAAATGACAGAACATACTTATACTTTTATTATTTATTATTTCATTTAATACTTCATATAAAACATTTAATTGTCCGCCTTCCCTGAAACTATTATCTTTAGAGGGTAGTGACAATGTCTTTTTCTTTCATTTATTCATTCAACAAACTCTTACTGAGCACCTACTATGGGCAAACTCTAGGGATGTGATGGAGAACAAGGAAAACAATTCCTGCTACCACAGAACATGGACAAAAGAGTAATGATTCTCAACCATTCCTGAATATTGGAATCTTTTGTGAAGGAAATGTTACAGAAAAGGTACTCCAGCCCGATGCATTAACCCTGGACCCAATTAGTGCCTCCCATGGTGGGCCCCAGTTAGGTTTAATTTTTTTAAGGGTTCACAGGCAATTCTGAGAATCAGTGTTGAGGATCACTTTTAAAATGGCTGTCTTCACCAGTGTACCTAGCATAGTTGTTTGGCACAAAGTAGGCACTCAAAATAGAGCACCATTTGATATTACTGTTACCCATTTAATAGTCAAGGAGGCTGAGAATAAGAGAAATTACCTTGCCCAGAGGTACATAGAGCCAGCAGCAAAGCTAGAATTTAAATGAATATTTTGAGACAATCAATCCCATCAACCAAATATGAGTGGCTGATAGGGAAAGGATCCTAGATAGTATAAAAGAAGGCTGGGGCAACGTGTGTCAGGGAGGATTGGAATCCCAGAAGCCAAGGGTGACAGGAGTCTGAAGGAGCCAAACTTCTCAAAAGAGCTGGTTCCCATTCACTGTCACCACTCCTACATCTGTTAGCTGTTGTTTTGTTCCATTTTTGTATTTTTGGTGTCATCTATTTTGACATTCAGAAGATAGAGCATAAAACAAACACCTATATACCCACCAACAGCATTCACTGTATCTCAATACTTGTCATCATTTTCAGTAATGTTTTTTTAGAAATGAGACATTTACATTTATATTCTTCTACCTTAGAAACAATCATCGGTGTTCATCATTCCTCTGCATAACTTTGTATTTTTTTTAAGATTTTATTTTAAGTAATCTCTATACACAACATGGAGCTTGAACTCACAACCCTAAGATCAAGAGTCACAGGCTCTACTGAGCTAGCCAGGCATCCCTCCATAACTCTATTTTTACTGCAAATGACTATATCCATACTTAAGTGTTTATATATCAAATTTCATATAAATAGTATCAGACAATTTGTATAAATTTGCTCCTTGCCTTCTCCTCCTTTGCGATTTCTCTATGTAGTTCTAGTTCACTCAATTTAACTCTGTATTGGTATTATTAATAAACCACAATTTACTCATCCATCTTTCTGTGGATAAACATTTAAGATGCTGCCTTTTTTTTTTTTAATTGCAAATTGTGCTGCAGCATACATTAAAATACATGTGCTTTGGGGAGCTCTGTGAGATGCCTGAGATGTATCACAATGCAGTTGGTGAATTGGAGAGTATGCTTATCTTCAGCTTCACTACACATTCTCCAAAGTGACCAAATCAACTTATACTCAACACTTGCATAAGAATTCCTACTGCTCCACTTCCTCATTAACATTTTTAATTCTTATCCTGATGGATGAAAAGTGAATGGGTATCTTACTGTTGTTTAATTTTAATTTACCTAACAAACAGTTAGATACAACATCTTTTCATGTGTATGGGCCAATACTTTCCTGTTAATACCTACCAGCAGTATTTCTGAGTTAAATAGGATGTGTATATATGTAATTTTTATGAAACTGCCAAACAGTTCTGCAAAGTGGTTGTACCATTTTATACTCCCACCAACAATGTATGAGTTTCAGTTGTGCCAATCTTTGTAAGCACTTGGTGCTTATCAAAAAACTTGTCATTTTTTTTTTTTAATTTTAGCCATTCAAGCGGGTATTAAGTGGAATCTCACTGTGGTTTTAATTTGCACTTCCCAAATGACAAATGACGTTGAGCACTTTTTCATGTGCTACTTTTCCTTGTGAAGTGTCTGCTGGAGTTTTTTGCCCATTTTTTCAAAGATTTTATTTATTTATTTCAGAGAGAAAGGGCGAGCACAAGCAGGGGGGAGCAGCAGAGACAGAGGGAGAAGCAGTCTCCCCACTGAGCAGGGAGCCCGATGTGGGGCTTGATCCCAAGACCCTGGGATCCTGACCTGAGCCAAAGGCAGATGCTTAACCAACTGCGCCCCCCAGGCATCCCAGTGTATATGTTTTGTGAATATCTTTTCTCATCTGTAGCTTGCCTACTGTACCTGCTTAATGGTATTTTTTAGTGAACAGAAATTTTAATTTTAGAGAAACCTAATTTATCCATATTCTTTTTTCTTTTATGGTAATTGCTTTCTTTGTCCATAAGAAATCTTTGCCTATCCCCAGATCATGAAGATATACTATGTTTTCTTCTAAAAGTTTTATATTGTTATCTTTTCCATTTCAAATGATGATCCAGCTCAAATTATCATGTGAGGCCACGGTTCATTTTTTTCCCAGTATGAATAATCCAGTTGTTGCAGCACCATTTGTTGAAAAGATTTTTCCTTCCTCTCCTGGACTGCTTTGGTATCTTTGTCAATAATCATTTGACTCTGTGTGGATTATTTATGGATTCTATTCTGTTTTATTGATTTATTTGTCTACACTTAGGCCAATATCACACTGTCTTGATTACTATATATTTTTAGTAAGTCTTAGGTCAGGTAGTGTAAGTCTTCCACCTTCAGTGATCTTTTTCTAGATTATTTTGAATATTCTAGATCCTTTGTATGTCAATATATTTTAGAATTAACTTGTCAATTTCTATTTTTTATTTATTTGTTTTGTTTTTCAAAAGTTTATTTTTTTTACTAATCTCTATACCCAATGTGGGGCTCAAACTCAGGACCCCAAGATCAAGAGTCGCACACTCTTTTGAGCCAGCCAGTTTCTATTTTTTTAACAGCCTTTGATCAGAGATGCCTTGAATCTATAATATAATCAATTTGGGAGAAAACTGATAACTTAATATTTTGTCTTCTAATCCAAGAACATGGTATGTCTATCAAATTACGTTGTCTTCTTTCATATTTCTTGGCACTGTATTGTAGTTTTATGCTGTCTTCTTTAATTTCTCTTGGCACTGTATTGTAGATTTTTATTACTTTTTTTTTGTTGTTCTTTTTAATTAATTTTTTTTAAAGATTTTATTTATTTATTTGACAGAGAGAGACACAGTATCATTGGCTTTTTTTTTTTTTTTTTAAGATTTATTTATTTTAGAGAGACAGAAAAAGAGAGCAAGCGGGGGCAGCGGCAGAGGGCGAAAATCTCAAGGCAACGCCACACCGAGCTCAGAGCCCAACACGGGGATCTCACGACCCTGAAATCATGACCTGAGCTGAAATCAAGTGTTGGATGCTTAACCAATTAAGCCACCAGGCACCCCTGGCTTGTTCTGATCTTAGGGGGAAAGCATTCAGTTTTTACTATTAAGTATCTTGTCAGCTATAGGCTTTTCATACATGCCATTTACTGGACTAGGGAAGTTCCCTTCTATTCATAATTTGCTGACATTTTTTCTCATGACTCTTGCTGAATTCTGTTTAATGCTTTTTCTATACCACCATCAATATCAATATCCTTACATACACTATAACCAAAAAATGCTATGTCCGAAAGAAGGTATCTGATGGCTGCTCCCCAACCCGACATGATATTATGCATCAAAATGGGAATGTTATATTTGGGATTTGGACATTACTTTGTTCCATTAGAAAACTGTACCCAGACCTTGCTTCACCAGTGAAAAGAAAAATAATACATATTATAACATCATAAAATGTGTTTTTTTTTAAAGATTGTATTTATTTTTTTAAGTAATTCTACAACCAACGTGGGGCTCAAGCCTACAACCCCACGATCAAGAGTTGCACGTTCCACCCACTGAACCAGCTAGGCGTCCCTTTAAAAATTTTTAAATCTTTCTTTGGTTCTTGTACTCAATTTCATTCCTAACAAATTTTATGCTAAGCCATAATACCGTTTAATGTCTTGTGCTTTTATGGCATATATTAAAATGGCTACTGCAAAGAAACATTTTAAATGAAATTTGGCTTTGTTATAAAAACTAACATTTTATTAAATAAAATTTGAAAACAGGAAAAAGAAAACCACTCAAATGGATTTCTTTCCAGGCTCATTTTCTATAGTTTTTCCTTTCTTCATATACTAATATAATTGAAATCACACCATACAGATAATTTTATGCCATTTGTTTTAACATTTATCCCAGTGATTTTCTTTATAAGCATACTAAATGTTAAAGCTAACTTAAAATGTGTCTAGCTGTGGGGCGCCTGGGTGGCTCAGTCATTAAGCGTCTGCTTCCGGCTCAGGTCATGATCCCAGGGTCCTGGGACTGAGCCCCACATCGGACTCCCTGCTCTGCGGAAAGCCTGCTTCCCCCTCTCCCACTCCCCCTGCTTGTGTTCCCTCTCTCGCTGTGTCTCTCTCTGTCAAATAAATAAAATCTTAAAAAAATAAAATTAAAATTAAAAAATAAATTTAAAAAAATGTGTCTAGTTGCCATATTGCTAGTTAACTTATACTGCATGCCATCTCATACAAAAAACCTTTTGTTTTATTTTTTAAGGTTTTATTTATTTGACAGAGAGCGCGCACGCAGGAGAGAGCACAAGCAGGGGGAGCTGAAGGCAGAGGGAGAAGCAGGCTCCCCCCTGAGCAAGGAGCCCGATGGGGGACTTGATTCCAGGACCCCAGGATTATGACCTGAGCCGAAGGCAGACACTTAACTGAATGAGCCACCCAGGTGCCCCGAAAAAGCTTTTAATATAGGTTACATGTAATGATTCGACCTTCACAAAACTACTCAGTAGCTGTGTAATTTTAGGTAAGATACTTAATTTCTAGGGGCACCTGGGTGGCTCAAGTCAGTTAAGCATCTGCCTTCAGTTCAGGTCATGATCCCAGGGTCATGGGATCAAGTCCCGAGTTGGGCTCCCTACTCAGCGCTCCCTGCTTCTCCCTCTCCTCCTAGCTCATGCTCTCTCTCTGTCGCTCTCTCTCAAATAAAATCTTAAAAAAAAAAAAATTTCTCTAAGCCTCAGTTTCTAATCTGTAAAATGGGATTAATGAAGAATATACATTATAGGGTTATTGTAAAAATTTAATAAGACAATATACACAAAGTGTTTAGTACAGTGCTTATCACACAGTGAATACTCAACAAATGTTAGCAGTTACTATTCCATTAACACAAACCTCCTAGGTGATTGCCCCCAGGGGCAGTGCTAAAAAGTGGTGAAAAAATTGTAAAAGGAAATCAACAAATCTCAGTTTTCAGTCTCGATTACTCATGGTGGATTATCTAGATTAGAGATCATGTGTCACCTGCTGATGTGTTTTATTTGGCCAGCACAATGTTTAAAAAATTTTTAAGGTGTGCTGAAACACAAAACTGCCAATATTTCATAGCTTTTAAATCAACAAAAATGGGAATCTCATACGATTCAACTTAATAAACGCCAACATTTTGAAACACAGTTTACACACACACAGTTTTCTGACTTCTTTAGAAAATTAGGATGATGTGGCAACAAGTCCAAATGTCTACACAGTAGTTATTAGCTGGAGCTAGTAGTACCAGCTGCTGTCCCCTTTAGATGGCACCTATTCCTTTCCATTTGCTACAGTCCACACCATCCTATTGTGCCTTATAACCTGACAAGTCCACACCATCCTATTTTGCCTTATAACCTGACAACTTCACACATTCATACTACCCCGGCTGGTGGCCATCAGAATTGGAAACCTCTTTTTTTTTTAAGACACACTGGAGAGGCTTGATACTTATTTAGCATTCAAGTGGTCTGTTTAATTGTGGGAATTTTTTTTTACCCTGTCCAAATTATAAATTTTGCTTGTTTTCTATGTAATGTATTGATAAACAGGTTGAGAGGAGAAATATAAACACAGGCATCTTTTAGATGTTAATTAAGGTATAATAACTCACAGTCTATAGCTGTGACGTACATAATAGTAGGGATCAAATAAAAAAATATTTAACATTTACTCCTCTAAGGTAAATTATGACTACTCCATATGGCTCTGGAGTCGGGGCTCCAATATATTGGTAGCCATGAAGCCCCAGGTAAATTAAAACTCTGAGCTTCAGCTTTTCCTTATGTACAATAAAGATAATACTGCATACCTAAAAAGGTTGAGCGGGGAGTAAATTAAGGAAACCCAGTGAAATGGAAACGTCTCTTAATGCCCCGATCCCACTCTCAGTCATTCCCTCTGGTGTCTATTAAGGGAAAAGTGCTTTATGAAGTAGTCATTCCTTAATAGTTATCTTTAAGCACTATGTAGACAAAAATTCTCAAGGCGGGGAGGAGAATGTGTAGATTGAGAGCATCACACTTGACCAGGGAAGTCTACGCAAACCGTTATCATGGGTGTTTATATTGAACTCTGAACTTCATAGGAAAACATCTAAATCTGATTCACTGAAGCCATCCTTTGTATTGTGTAACAAATAAAATGTCACCGGCATCGCCTGTAAGTAGACCAGACTGAGGGAACCGAAACTGTAAGGCCCAAGGTACGCATTATTTTATACCTTCTCACCATCCCCAATTCTTCATCTAGGACGCAGGACGCGCAGCTTTATCGGGGCCCGGCGACAAAGGCGCCAAGCGAAAACACTCTCGGCCAGGGGCAGGGAGGGCCCTCTGGCTACCGGGAAAGCGGCAGCCTGCGCGCCGCCGGTGCTCGAGCAGGGGATGGGCAACCAGCCGATCCCCTGGGCGCCGGGCCCGGCCGCGGGTGTGCGCTGCGCCTGGGCGGAACGCGGGCCGGGAGGGCGGAGGAGCCAGTCCCGCCCCTGCCCCGAGTAGCCCGAGGGCTCGCACCGCCCCCGGGAAGGGCGCCTCCTCGGGAAGCCCGGGCCTGGCCGGCGGGGAGGCGCCGGGCGCAGCCGCCGGGCCGCGACTGGGCTCCGCGATGCTGCCGTTACCCCGCCCCTCCCCCGCGCGCCAACCTGCGGCGGCCGCCGCCGCTCACCTGGTAGCGTCCGCGACGTTCCTGACGAACAGGGAGGTGTTGGGGGGCCTCGTGTAGCGCGACATGACCGCTTCCTCCGTTGCCTCCGGGCCTGCCCGCGGCCGCCGGGCTCGCTCCGTTTCTCGCTGGCGCCACAGCAGCTCAGCCAGCCCCCGGCGCGACCCCCTCCCCTCGGCCTCGGCCCCGCGAGCGCGCAGCCGCAGAGGCGGGCGCGGGGGCGGGGTGGGGGGGGGACGCTGCGCGGCTCGAGCCTGTCCGTGCGGACCGTGTGGGGGCGGGGCCGTAGCCGAGGGGGATCAGGGGAGGGGGCGGCGCGGGTTCCGGAAGATCGAAGGGATCCGAGGAGGGGGCGGTGCAGGGTACGCGAGGATCTGGGAAGGGGGTTGTGCGGCAGTTACAGGGTCCGAAGAGATCCGGGGAGGGGACGGAGCTGCGTCCCGCAGATCGAGGGGTTCTGAGAAGAAGGGGGCGGCGCAAGAGAGGATCCGGGACGGGGCGGTGCGGAGGGTCCCCGGGTTCCGAGGAGATCTGGGGATGGGGCGGTGCAGGGGTCCGCGGGGATCCGGGGAGGGGGCAGGCCTGGAGGCTGGAGTCCGAGGGATCGAGGGACGGGCGGCTGGGGTCCGAGTGTGTCTGGACGGTGGAGGCCAGACGGGTCCTAGGAGGTGATGCTGAGCTAGGGGTTAGAGGATCCGGAGAGAGGGTGTCGGGCGTCGTCGGAGTGAGTGGGGATGAAGACCGAGTTTAACTGCTGAACAGCTGGATGGCCACCGGGGCCTTCATCCCTGCATCCTCAGTCCAAGACCTTAGCAATTGTTCCTACTCCTGTCCTTTTAGGCCTGAGCCTAATAAGATTTTCAAACTGTGAGGATTCGGGTTTTGTCTGTGTTTAGATTCTTCATCCATTATTCCCTTAGGGCATACTATTCAAAAGCTGTGGGTACATTCATTTAGATGTTTACTGAGGGTCTACTATGCACCAGGGACTGTGCTAGGTGTGGGATATGGCAGTGAACACTACAGGCCAAGCCCCAACTCTCAGAGCTTACACTGTAGAGAGAGGGTCCAACAATAAACGAATGAAAAAATGAATATATGATGTAGAAGAAAGAGCTGAAAATGCAGTGGCAAGTAAGCAAATTTAAAGTATCCTCTTTTCCTTGCTCCAAAATGTAGCCCAGCCCTTTCTAGTTCTCCTCCTTCAGGTTTGCTTTTGTGGTTGGCACAGCCTATTACCCAGAACTGTAACCAGGTAACTTGTAATTTTTAATAGGACCCCTTTTTATTCTCAGAAGTGGTCGATTTTGGTGGATAAATAATAGGGTCATCCTACACAGCTCACAGCTTCCCAAGGTTTCGAAACACTTCTGGAACAGTGGCCATTCGTTCAAAAGGGAATTGCTTTGGCACAGCAGTCACAGGGCTAGACAGGGAATATAAAGGTAGGGAGTGAGCAGGGTTCCTGGTGTCACGGAGCTTACAGTTTGGTAGGAGGCAGAATGTAATAACACTAATAAACACATAAACTATGGTAAGAGCTGTATGCTGCTGAAAGGGGACCTTATAGTGGTTGGCAAACAGGGCTAGAGGGTCACTGAACTTTTCCCTGAAGTCTTGGGAGGTATTTGAAGAATGAAAAAGAGCAATCCATGTACTGGAATAGCATGTGCAAAGACTTTGAGGCAATAGAGGACTGAAAGGAGGCAAACAGGAATAAAAAGCTGAAGAACAGTGAAGTGAGGCTGGAGAGCAGGCTGGGTTTATAGTAGGGAAATTTGGAATGCTGAGTGTACTGGTTTGCTAGGGCTGTCATAACAAATTACCTCTAATTCAGTGGTTTAAAATAAGAAAAATTTATGGGGTGCCTGGCTGGCTGGGTCAGTGGAGCATGAGACTCTTGATCTCAGGGTTGTCAGTTCGAGCCCCATGTTGGGTGTAGAGATTACTTAAAAATAAAATCTTTTTTTAAAAAAGAAATTTATTCTCTCACAGTTCTGGAGGTCAGAAGTCTGAAATCATGTGTTGGTAGGACCATACTTTCTCTGAAGGTTCTAGGGGAGAATCCTCCCTTGCTTCTTTCAGTCTCTGCTGCCTCTAGACGTTCCTTGGCTTGAGGCTACATATCTCTAGTCTCTGCCTCCATCTTCATGGGACCTTCTCTTCTGTCTTATAAGAATACTTGTCATTGGATTTACAGCCCACCCAGATAATGCAGGCTGATCTCATGTCAAGATCCTTAATTGTAGCTGCAAAGACCCTTTTTCCAAATAAGGTCATATTTAGGGGTTAGGGCTTAGACATACCTTTTTGGGGGCCACCATTCAACCCACTATACTGACCTTGTGGAGAAAAGAGAATTGACTTGGTGGGAAATTAGTTATTAATAAACGTATTCCCTGACATATTAAGTAGGGTAAAAACTTCATGTGAACTATGAACTTGGGGCACCTGGGTGGCTCAGTTGGTTAAGTGTCTGCCTTTGGCTCAGATCATGATCCCAGGGTCCTGGGATCGCATCTGGCTCCCTGTTGAGTGGGGAGCCTGCTTCTCCCTCTCCTTCTGCCTGCCACTCCCCCCTGCTTGTGCACTCTCTCTCTCTCTCTCTGTCAAATAAATAAATTAAAAAAAATCTTTAAACTGTGACCTTATGTAGTTAAAAATATATGTATTTGTAAAAATATGTATTATGTATGTAAAATATGTATTATGAATGTAAAATAATATATAAGTCCATATATAAATGGGATTCTTTTCTAGGTGAGGCATTACACTCTGATTTTTACTTTCTTCTTCTTATCTTTGGTACTGTCAGATTTTTTTGAAATCCATTTTATAATTGGAAAAATCCTACAAAGTTCCTTTACAGTTTGAAGAAAAGCTTTTGTAGGAGTATGTGATTTACAGTGCATGAGGAGTGGGTTTTTTCCTGTTCCTATTGATGGAAGTATCTGAGGAAAGGGTTTTAAGCTGTGAGAGAAGCTTCATTTAGAATCTTGAACTTTAAAAGTAGCTGGAATTGGGGGCACCTGGGTGCCTCAATTGGTTACGTGTCTGACTCTTGATTTCAGCTCAGGTCATGATCTCAGGGTGGTGGGGTTGAGAGTCTGCTTGAGATTCTCTGCCTCTCCCTCTGCGCCTCCCCCACCCCCCGCTTGCACGTGCTCTCTCTCTCTCTCAAATAAATAAATACCTTTTAAAAAGTAGCTGGAATTGATTTAAAGTAAGTTGTGGAAATGGTAACTGTGAGGAAACGTTAATTATCTTGACTATAGTGATCATTTCACTGCATATATATATATCAAATCATCATACACCTTAAATGTACACCTTAAATGTGTACATTTTTATTTACTAATTTAGTTGTGGAGCCATAATTATTTATATTACATAAAAATGTATGCTTTTCTTGTTTCCAAATATGAAGTATAAAGAAGTGTAAGTAAACTGCTTTCTAGTTGGAAGACCTGAGGAGGGACATGGTCAGGCATGGACAATGAAAGAAGGTTATATAATGCTAGGCTTGGCCAGTGTCTTGACCAGGTCATCAAACCAGTTGAGATGAGTGATGAAACTATACTTTGTCTTTTCCTTGGCATTTTGAAGTACTCTTAAAGAAGTAGGGAAAAGGGGCGCCTGGGTGGCTCAGTTGGTTAAGCGACTGCCTTCGGCTCAGGTCATGATCCTGGAGTCCCGGGATCGAGTCCCACATCGAGCTCCCTGCTCGGCAGGGAGTCTGCTTCTCCCTCTGACCCTCCTCCCTCTCATGCTCTCTCTCTCATTCTCTCTCTCGCAAATAAATAAAATCTAAAAAAAAAAAAAAAAAAAAAAAGAAGTAGGGAAAAGGCTTAGGTCAAGACTAAATACCCTGCCTGTCACCAGACTCACAAATCTATACATATTTACCCTAAGTCCTAGAATTTAGCGAAGTGCCATTTAGTAAATCAGTCATTGCTTTGAGGCACCAAATGGTATCCTACAGGCATGGGAGAGTTAATGTTCTTTCTAAATCTCCAGGAAATTCCCAAGGAGTATACCACTGGCAAAATCTGACAATTGTTGAATAACTATAGCCCCTCTTCTACAGCAGAGTTTAATATATTGTTCTTGGCAGCAACTGCTTCCTTTCCATTTAATCCATTTTTAAAATTACAGTCTATCCTCACCACAAAAAGGAAATAATAACTGATTGAAAATTAAATTGTACTTGGGTATGTGTGAGTGTCTTAAAATCTGTGCAATGAAAAGCACTTTGAAAAAACAAATTCAGAATTAATGAAGTCACCTGATTGTGACTCTCTCTTATGCTGGGAACTCACTCCCCAACAGATGGTGCTAGCTCTCCTCTAGTTAGAGCTGCTCTGGTCTACCCTTTCTTAAAATGTACCATGCATGACCTTGAAGGTGAGGAGTGATGTGATGATTGGCATAGAATGTATTGTAAACTTTCTTCTATTGCCCGGAACTTTGGCTTATAAAACATTATTCCACACAATCCAGGTGAAAAATCTATGATTGTATCCTCTTATGAAGTTGATTTCTTCCACGGCAGCTATAGGAAATAATTTAAAAGGTCATTTACTTGATAACAATGGATAGTATTTAATTTTTTCAGAAACATTGGCGTACAGAAGGCCCGTCACTTTACTTGCATATTCCCCAAAATGACACTTGGTCTTGAAAATGTTAGAAGTGTGTGCTTCTTCCTAACCTAATTAATTTGACAAATATTTAGTGATGATCTACTGTACGTTAACCATAGTACTAGGAACTGGGGATGAAAAAAGAAGTTACGCTTCATAATTCTGAAAGACTCAGCCCAGTGTTTCCCAGACTTAAGTCATTTTCATATATCCTATGAGATTTTTGCCATGATGTACTGCTTTACTGTAATAGGTTTATTATTTTTCTTTAAATTAGTTTACTTTTATTTTATTTTATTTATTTTATTTTATTTTATTTTTTTTAAGATTTTATTTATTTATTTGACAGAGACAGAGATAGCGAGAGCAGGAACACAAGCAGCGGGAGGGGGAGAGGGAGAAGCAGGCTTCCCCCCGAGGAGGGAGCCCGATGTGGGACTCGATCCCAGGACCCTGGGATCATGACCTGAGCCAAAGGCAGACGCTTAACGACTGAGCCACCCAGGCGCCCAGTTTACTTTTATTTTAAAAGAACATTCTATCACTAATATTAATTTTAGAAGTTTCACAGAGGGTAATCATTACAAAATATCATTTTAGAGAAAAAAATGTAAATTCTAGCCTATTACTTTTATCTACAAAGGTTCCAAGACTGAGGCCTGCTATCTCTTAAAAAGGGAAATTAATCACACAATAGAGAGATGCTAAAGCCACCCAAGCACCAAACTAAAATGTTTTCCCTAATGTAGATTATTAAAAGGGCACCAACTCTC